CCACGACACAAACAGAGTAACATAGTGTAGCTGTTAAGTGCAGGAGGATTGGCAGGATTTATACATCGAGGAAACCAAACAACCTCTGACTACAACACAGCAGAGCCTCCTCGTCAGGCCAGGACTCTGCAGTCTGTTCACACCTGCAGGCCAGTGGACACTCTTTCAATGATGAGGATGTAACATCCTGGACAGGGAGGAACGCTGGTTTGAGGGCGGAGTCAAGGAGGCCATTTACGTGAAAAGGGAAAGGCCATCTCTGAATGGAGGAGGGGCCTAAGGGAACATCTGTCACCATCTTACATGCTGTGATTGCAGCCATTCAACTCTCTGTGAATGGGACTCATGGTTATTGATCAGTGGTCATGAGAATTTGCATAATTAAGATGAAGGAACTGCCCTCCCAGCCCATTGTTCCTTCAGTGGGCTGGTTTCAGTCATTATGCAAATGTCCTGTTTATAAGATTGAAACCTGCAGCTGAGACTGAAGAAGCCACCTGATGATGACGAAACGTTTCTCCCACAAATGCTACGTCCAGATGAACAGAAGTTTTTGGAGATACATGCTTACATCTACACACGCATATACAAAGACAGAGTGAGCTTCGGACGTGGCTTCTACATCCAACACAGACCCTCTTACAACCCAAACCCCGACATTGGTTTTGAATACATTTCCTTTTTTTAAAAATGTAATTTATGTGTGCTGCATGCACTTTGTTCATTCCTAAGATGTGAGTCTACACCAACTAATACTGTCTTTAGTTAATGTGTGAAAGCCTCAGGGAATTCATACTATTGAGTTCCTGTCTCTCTGTAAACTTTCTTCTTCTGCCTTATTGTTACCTTAAAAAACGACTGAGTTAGCATCAATCAATAAAAACAACTTAGTCAGGTTCAGTAACTAAAAACAGTCAAATGAAGCGATTGTCAGGTTCAGTCTCATAGTGATCATTGATATCTGAGTGAATATCCATGGTAGACTGCAGACAGGAGCCGATGATTCAGCTGATGTAAATGATTTGAATCCCACTGTGTTGGTTGTGTTACCTGTAAACAGGTGAACTCACCCCATTGGCAGTGCTGACAGCCTGGTAGTAAATCCCATAACTCTTGTGAGGCAGGAGGGGAGCATTCCAGTAACCACTGTAGGTCCTGTTGTCACCTGTACAAACACAAAGGTAAACAGACTGACTCGTTTATTAACTCACTAATTAAGAGACTCACAGACTGATTCGCCAACTGACTGAGTCAATAACTGACAGACCCATCGACTGACTAACTAATTGACTGATTGACAGACTCACTGACCGACACAGAAGGGCATGGGCGCCCTCAGCTCGCTCATTGGAAGCTCAGCGCTGAAGTAATACTGGGAGTCCAGCAGCGTGGCGTTCTGGAAGTGAATGGGCACTGGATAACAGCGCAGAATCTCTGCAGTGCCTCTGGCCTGCCTGCGGGGGCGCTCCTCTTCCACCACCACCTGGTATTTACTACAGACAGACAGGTTGAACCGTAAACAGATCTTGTAAAACAGCAAGGCATTATGAGTTTGGATTATGGGAAAAGCAGCTGTTTGTGGATCCTGCAGCTTTGACCATGGCTCCGGCTGAGAACTCAAAGGAACCTTTGGGCGAATCAGTAATGTTTTCGTAAACAGGAAAATGGAATGAAGATAAACTCTTGTTATTGCAGAATTGCTGCTGTGAGCTTTGCTGTTCGTGATTGTTGCTGATAATTGGCTGGATTTCTGTCCACATACAAGCCGACACATTAAACTGCTCGGCTCTTCTTCTGCCCATCTGTTGATTCATTATTCAGATCCACATAAAGGTCACCTATGCCTATCACACTCTCCTTCACTTTTATTAACTCTCCGTCTGCGTGTAGAGGCTGTAACTTTAGTTTGACATTAAACTGATCGTTCATTTCCTCCTGTCAGAGCTGCTATTAAATCCTATACGCAGGTAAAAGACATAAAGGAAGAAAAGAAAGGGAAATAACATGAGATATAATATTTTAAAAAATATATAATTCTAGGTAGCTGTCATCTACTTATCCCTGAATAAAAAAAAATCCTGTTCACCATCGACCACCATACAAAACAATTTTAAAGGACATACAAATATCAGATAGTTCATCCTGTATGTGACAGTCAGGAGCTGCCTGATTGTTCCTGTGCTGATTTAAAGCCTCATTAAACTCTCAGTCTGACCATTACAAGGGCATCGACAGAAAAAAACAGATCAAGCTCTACCGACATTTAAGGAAACTTTAGCAACTTCGGGAAACCTGTCGGCTCCATTAAAACTCTCCACAAGAGAAATTATCAACTTTATTAAAACACCACAAAAACTGACTTTCAGAAAACTCGACATAAACTGTTTTAGTTCCAACTGAACACAGAACACTGAGTTTCTATCAGTGTTTGTACTCTGGAAACAACAGTTACAAGGTCTTAAATAATCAGGCCCCATCTTATCTTAATGACCTTGTAGTACCATA